ACAGCGTGTGTGCCGGAGGCAAACATTTTAGATGCCCCCACCCTCATCCATTCCTGGGAAGGCTACATAGTTGTCCTACGCTGCATTGTTGTATCTATTGTTGTGGCAGTACTTGTGGCAGCATTCATGCTGTTGGCGCCGGCCGTCGAGTACCATGTTTGATGGCAGCGGAAATCAGAGAAAATAGGGTGGGCACCCCCACGTCTTGTTTGTGGGTGTCGACAGGCCGTGCACACTCTCCCGCATGCTCATAAAAGAGGGGTGAATCGGTGGCAATCGCCCGACCTTCCCCAAAATCCTGGAGTCGCCATCCTGAACGAAACCGCTGGTGATCATGCGAGATTTACCCGCCGAGTACGATATATCGGTCTGCTGACAATATGCTATGTGTGTCTTGTTGCAGGGGCCAGGCATGTCGAAAGTGAACGTGCACACAAACGAGTGTGAGACGTGCGGTATCCACGGATTGGCCAGTGACAACTGGCGGGAGACTGGTTTGTTCAACTACAACAACAGCTATCTGGTGGAGCTGTCTGTCCTGTACAGATGCCTGGAGGCATTCACCAGGGGTACGACTATAAGCGCCTTCTTCGAGACGTTTTTAGAACCTTTGGCGAGTGACCTGGTCTGGATCAAGGCGAACCCTGATCTCAGCAAAAGGTAAATGTAATGTTCCACCTTGCTCTATAAATGTGTCTGTCAAGGCCCACCTATTATAGTCATCCTTCTCACCAATCGCTGTTTAGCTGGCGGTGTAGCAAGCTACTGAGGCGTGTCTCGCAGCGAAAAATATGGCATGGTCGCATTGGATACCGAAACTACCAGGGGCTCCTCATTCCGCAAAAACTCAGATAATAATCGATCCTGTTTTCCACTTCGGTCTCCTTGTAAGCTGGCGATCTGAAGATCTTTCTCTTTCCCGAATTCTAGGCACCACCCATCGCACCATTTCCTCCGCGGGGATTCTAATTGTTACTTGAAGTAGAAAAAAAATCCGTAGTGCCCACTCTACTCTGCTAGCATGCGAAGCGGTTCGTTGTTGTCGAAAAATGTGTTAATATTGCATCGAGGGGGGGGGCTTGTTGCAGGCTTTTTTTCTCATTGAAGTTTGAACAGAATGTGTATCGTGACAAACAACCGCATTTTGCCGACGATTTTTTCTTCGCGCATGACTTCCACGTCCAGGCTCGCAAACGGCATTAACTTGCTCAACGTGCTCAACAACATTTTCTTGGCGTTCCTGGCCCTCATCGACCACACTTTCGAGTTTCGGTGCTGGATGTGGGGGAAGTTTCCGCCGATCCTCACTTTCGACGCCTGCATGAAGATCGCCTGCAACTTCGTGACTCTGGGGCAGGTGATCGCGTCGAGACCCGAGCAAGACATCAACACTGACCTCG